TCTTCTTTGTGTAGTCTGTTTCTAAGAGCTGTCTTCTTTCATTGGAAGAGAGTTTTCTCCTAAATTACATTATTAACTTGCAGATGTTGGTGTGCCATCAACAATATCCGGCATATAATAAAAGTTTCTGGGTATGTAAAGAAGCAGAAAAAAGTGATCCATAACCAGGAAAACAGCACAATAAATAGAAACACACCGAAAGATGTTGGAATTAACAGAAAAGAAGTTTCAAACAGATATTAATATGTTTAGGAATTCAAAGGAAAGGTTGCCATAATGAGTGAACTAATGGAGATTATCAATCGAAAAGTAAAAAATTGGAATTCTAGAAATGAATAAAACAATGTCTGAAATGAAAATGTTAGAGCGTAGGCTTAACAGAAGAAAAGATCAACGAACTTTAAGGCAAGGCAATGGACATTATCCAAACTGATGCAAATAATAAAAAAGTTAAGGAAAATAACGAGACTCAGTGATCTATGGGGCAATATCAAACATTCCAACATATGTGTAATGGGACTCCCAAAAGGAGAATTAACAAATAGGGCAGACAAAAAATTGAAGAAATATTATTCAAAAATTTTGAAAGTTTGATAGCAAATATCAATCCATAAATCCCAGGAGCTCAACATACCCCAAGCAAGATAAAAACAAAGAAAACCAACCAGAAGCACATAACCATCAAATTGCTGAAAATTAAAGATAGAAACATAAGAGCATCTGAGATTTTTAAAAATCATCATTTATCAAGACCATGAGAAAGTTTAAAAAAACACATTATAGAAACAGCCATGCGAATTTTCATGAACTTCTCATAAGAAATAATGCAAGCCAGGAAATAATGCAATGATATTTTTAAGTGCTGAAAGGAAAATAAAACTGTCAATCCAGAATTCTACATTTAGGAAAAACATCCTTAAAAAATGAAGGCAAATTTAGATATTTCCAGATAGTAAATCAAAGTTGACATAATCACCTGTTAACTTATGGTATAAGAAATAGTAAAGGAAATTCTTCAAGCAGAAAGGCAATGATAGCAGATGGAAAATTGATTCTACATAAAAGAATGAAGATTGCCAGAAATGGCAAATATGTGAGCAAAATATATTTTTTCTCTTTAAAATGCCTTTTTAAAATTGATTGTTTAAAGCAAAACAATAACACTATTGTGGGGTTTAAATGTATGTTAAAGTGTTTGACAACAATA